AAAAAAAAAAAAAAAAAAAAAAAAAAAATAAAAATATTTTATACTCATGTGAAAACGAAATTCTTACTAAAATCTGTAACTAATGAGTTAAAAATGGATTTATTTAATAGAATATATTGTGTTCTATTTACTATAGCAACAGTTCTATCACTTACGTACAGCATTGAGGTAAAAACTGCCACGGACGTAATACAATTGGATTGTTCAATTGTAATAGAATATCACGATTTTTATCATTGTTATCGTTATTACAGATACCTGAAGAGTTCCAGAAGTCGAACCATTCGAACAACTGGGCTGTACTAGTGGATACATCTCGGTTTTGGTTTAATTACCGACATGTAGCGAATGTATTATCAATTTATCGTAGCGTGAAGCGGCTTGGTATCCCGGACAGTCAGATAATTCTGATGATATCCGACGACATGGCTTGTAATCCTCGGAATCCGCGTCCTGCTACAATATTCAATAATGCTCACGAACAAATCAATGTGTATGGAGATGATGTTGAAGTAGATTACAGGGGTTATGAGGTTTGTACCAAGCTAAACATATTATCAACATTTGGCTGTTTATCTTTTCATTTATAATTTTAGCATAATATTATGAAATGAATTTAAAACAAAGCTAATATAATTATGTTTCATAGTACTATGTAATATTGGAATATACATTCATTTAACACCCTCATTCTTAATTAGATAAAAACTTGTTTATAACCTACTGTAACACTTCCCTGCATCACCCTATGGTTGGCTGGTAGAGAATGCTGTCTTAATTAAGCCCGCCATTGTATAAGCATTTGTACAAAAAGTGTTAAATCAATATCTATATCTAATAGTATAATATATAATCAATATCTAATGATCAATTATTAAACCAATAAGATTCTAATATTAGAGATTTTCAAGTTTTCTTCAACTTTGTTGCTTTCCTTAATCCACACAATAATCCTGTCTATAATTTAATTTTATAATATAAAATTGTGCTTTAACAAATTTAACAATAATTCAATATAATGTAATCAAATATTTTTAGGTTTCAGTAGAGAACTTTGTACGTCTACTTACTGGCCGAGTACCTCCAGACACTCCACGCTCCAAGAGGCTCCTTACTGATGAAGGAAGCAACATATTAATCTACCTCACAGGCCATGGAGGTGATGGCTTTCTCAAGTTCCAAGATTCAGAGGAAATCACTAGCCAGGAGCTGGCTGATGCTTTAGAACAAATGTGGGAGAAGAGAAGGTGATAGATTTCAACAGTTACTTATTAATTTCACAATAATTCATACATTCTCAGAATATTTAACTCATGTCCTATGAGTCCTATCTATCTACTGGCTGATAAGCATTTCTAGCCCTTATGATACTTTCTATAAGACAATATTTTTCTAATATTGGTCAAACTAGACATATTTATGCTAATGTTTGTTCATTAATTTTCAGATACAATGAGATATTTTTCATTATAGACACATGCCAGGCGTCTTCAATGTACGAGAAATTTTATTCTCCAAACATATTAGCTACTGCTTCAAGTTTAGTTGGTGAAGATTCTCTTTCTGTATGTACCTAGTCATTTTATAAAATTGGAAAAAATGTTTTGTCTATGGACAGACTAGTTACTTTTTTATTTTGGTTTTAGCACCATGTGGATTCAGCAATTGGTGTGTACATCATCGATAGGTACACTTACTATGTACTGGAATTCTTGGAAAATGTTCATCCCAACAGCAAAAGGACTATGTCTGAATTTGTAAGTATCCTGCATCTTCTTTCCTACGAATTTTCCGTATTTTTCCTAAATTGATTGCAAAGGCTTAGTTATACTGAATAATATGTAGGTACTTAGTTTTCTATTGTAATAATATTGCTATTGTAATAATATTTTTATTTCAGCTGGCAGTCTGTCCAAAGAGCGCATGTTTGTCAACTGTTGGAGTAAGACGAGACTTGTTCAAACGAGACCCTGATAAGGTGCCAATCACCGACTTCTTTGGTTCAGTGCGACCTGTGATCATCACAACAGATCCTATTGATATATTGGATACTCCCAAAAGAAAGAAGAAGCCTGAGTAAGTTAGACAATATAATATTATTTATGGTCTGGTCTGATTAAAAATAGTGACATTATTATTAAGAATTTCTAAATTCTCTGCAGAAAAATTATTATTATTATTCTATCTTTGTAGAACATTCTAAGGAATAGACTAGTAACATATTTATGTCATGATATCAAGTGCCATATAGTTATAAGATTAACATTATAATCTCTAATACTTACATTTCTGTTGTTTCAGGAACAAAACTAAATCACCTGTGAAACGGGAATATCTACCACAATTTCCAGTACATCTAGTCTCCAATACAAAAACCGGCTAATTAAGTCAGTATTGTTAATTTTACATATTTATTTGAAATTACACAAATATAGTACATAACTTTTATCTTTTAATTCCTTTTAATTTTAATATGCGCCACTGAACCGTTCGCTACAAGAATTTAGTAACTGTCATCATAACTGTTAGCTATCAACGAACTTTTTGTCTTATGGTTGGATGGCCAAGTGCTGCCATCTAGGTTGTAACATGAAAGTACCTTAAATTACGTATAATTTATTATTAGTGTTTTTAAGTATTATGTTTTTCGATAATGTCTTATTTTTACACAGTAATATGCAAACATCAAAGTTTCAGTTTTATGCAATTAAATTACCATCTTTTAACTATGTCAGGTGTTTCGACGCAAGTCATCATCATTAGTCACTAGGTATCAGTGGGGAAAATAAGTAAATAAAACAACAAAGAATATTAAATAGTCAATTTTATTTTTGTCTAAGTACTAATAATAATTCTTTCAACATTATTATAAACACAACCGACTCAGTTACCGTTGGAATCTATAACGCATTACGTAATTAGCAACGATTGTGCATGCATTCGAGTCTCACATTCAGATATGAGATCAAAACTATAGGACTATAGCACCATTACAGTTACTTTCGTAGGCCATAACTTTTTGGTCTAATTTCATTCCGTATCAACTATTTGTATCACTAACTAAACCTCACTAGGAGCAAATAATTTGTAGGATTACTAAGTTTGTGGGTATTTAAGATAGATGGCGTAAGTGGCGCTAAATAAATCTTAAGCTGAATGTTAGAGTAAGATAGATGTCGCTTAGCGCGTGTTATGGATTAAAGTATTCTTGTCTCTTTCACATAGATTGTAATATATAAGTGTTAGACAGAGACGAAAGATAGCTTAGACAAAAAAATATACTAAGTGATGTCTATCAAACTTGCCCTTAACCCTTTAACCGCCAAGATTCTGAACTTTCAACTTACCTCCAGCGCCACGTCACTTTAGGTATAAGTTGGAACAGTGTTGGGAACACTTAATATCGATGCATATATTCTTTAATCATCAAAAAATTAAAATCAATGTTTTATTTACCTACTTAATAAATAATCTAAAAATTTTCAATCTT